ATTTTCACAAGGAAAATGTACAATAACAAGAATCAGTATTTGACAGAAAACCCTCTATTAAAAATCAACCAGAAAGCATCATAGAAGGAGGCTGTATACAGTGCAGGCATGACAGACACATAATTCCTACTTAGAAGCTGTGTATACCATCCTAAGCACAGGTTTAATGTGGTCAATCACATATCATGACTGATAATAAAACTACTCCTTAAGAGAAAGAAGAACACTCATATTCAGCCTCATGGAACATGATGGAGAAGGGAGTACTCTTACAAGAACTCTCACAACATGAAACACATATTAATTCTGGAAAATATATATTCACATCACTGTCTGAATTCCTTTGAAGGTCTTGGCCATTTTTACTTTACCAACCTTTAGAATTGGAATAAAAATGAGACTTTTTTAGACCATGTAATCTTTTGTTTTTTAATTTTTTATTCATTTTACATACCAACCACAGACCCCGTCTCAACCCTCCCTCCCTCGAACCCCCTTTTCCCCTCCTCTAAAATGGTAAGTTGGGCACGGACAGCTAAGCCTAGTATATACAGTAGAGGCAGGACCAAGCCCCTTCCCAGTGTATCAAACGTGAGCAAAGTGTCTGACCATAGGTAATGGGATCCAGAAAGCCAGCTCATGAACCAGGGATAGATCCTTATCACACACCAGGGGCCCCTCAAACAGACCCAGCTACACAACTGTCTCTCATATGCAGAGGATCTAGTCTGGTCCTATTCAGGTTCCACAGCTGTCATAGACCATGCAATCTTTATCAACAGGGCATCTCTGCCTAGAATCAGATGGTTTGAGATTGAGAAATGTTTTGTGGGCCTGCACAGACCGATGGTCAATCTTCTAAATCTAATATCAAAGTAATATCCTAACACATTAGAGGCTTGGGTAGGAATCACACCCATATCACCAAAACAATAGTTAAGTATCACACACAAATGGCACATTTATTATGATTGATGGAGATCTGGCTGTAGTCATGATGGGAGATGCAGTGCTTACTGTGTTCTTTGAATGCTATATCGTCTCTATTGGTACATCTCTACACCTCCTCCACTCCAGAACACACATGAACAACACTGAGTGTGATCAAGCACTGTCAACTAGACTGACATTAAAATAATGAAGAAAATTTAATTCAAATACCTAGGCTTGTTACAGAGAAAATATTCCTGTTTTAAAAATTTCTATGAGACTTTCATATGTGAGTATTTTAATTGCATAATTTTTATCCTTTCCTAACCTAAGTCTTTTTCTCCTCTCACATTTCCTCTTAAATCCATGACATCTGATTTAATGATTATTGATACACACATACTCACACATGCTTCTAAATATCACTGGCTGAACCTATCTAGTTTTGCCTGTATGTGTATGTGTTTAGGGCAGGCCACTTGAAATTGGATATACGCAGGCTCATCCTAGTAGAAGACTAAGATTCTCTGCCTCAGAAGTCATTAATTTACTGTATTTCTTTATCTATGAGTTTGGCCTTATGTGATTTCCACCGACTATGTGGGCATGCCAAATAGTGTGCACATTTTGCCAGTTGTCTTTAGGTAACGCTCATTGAGATTTCAGGGGTGCAGTTTCCTGTCATGTGTAAAAGACACTATCTTGCAGATGTCCTAGTCCTCTGTATTTTACAGTCATTCTGCTTCCTCTTCCATAATGTTTTCTGAGCCATATGTGTAGGGGTTGTGGTGTAGAAGTATAAAGTGTGGATGGGCACCATGAGGTTGTTTTTCTGGACTCTGACCAGGTGAACATTTCTGTATATTGTCTTCCTGCTACAGCAGAAGGTTTTTTTTTTTTTTTTTTTTTTTTTTTTTTTTTTTTTTTTTTTATGAAAGTAAAGAGCTACAGTTGTCTGTGTTTATAAAGCTAAGTATTGAGAATATAGTTGGATTTCTCTAGGGACACTATTGACCTCTTTTCTTCCTTAGCAACACTCTCATAACTTTTGGGATGCTATGGAAGCTAGTCTTCAGGCAGGAAGCTTCCAGAATTTTCAAACCTGATTCCTCCAAGTCCTATTTCCAAAAGATGTAGTGTCATCTGTAATAGGCTCTTACCATCATGTTCTGGAAGGCAACCCAGTACAATGGAAATAGCTGATATTGTTTGGAGGTCTTTTGGACCCACTATTCTAAGGGAAGTTTCCCACGCTCTCCTTTCAGTTTTTGTTAGGTTGTCCATGCCTCTTGGTGGAGGCATTATCTACCAAGAGGTGTAACTTCATTTAAACTATGTATGTACTTGTTTGGATACATATACATTTATGTTTTCTGCATGTATTTTAAATAAAAATAGAATATATGCTTTCCATATCATTTTCCAATATATTTAGTGTTATTTACCCCTCTTTGGTCTCCGCATTTTTTCTGTTTCCCCTCATAGCACCATTATCCTACCATTGTCCTCTCTAGAACTCTTTCTCTTCCTTAATGCCTTTTGATCTTTTTACTTCCCTGGTTACTGTGGTAACTCCAGGTTCGGTTTATTTATATCTAAATATTCAGAGGTATGATCCACATACATAAGAGAATGTCTAGCATTTCTTTTTCTGTGTGTGGATTACCTCACTCAGTATAATATTTTGTAGACCTATGCATTTACCTGCTAAAACTTCTAGAAATCATCAGCACTTTCACCAAAGTGGCAGGATACAAAATCAACTTAGAACAAAATAACATCCTTCCTATATACTGTGAACAAAAAAACAAACAATCAATCAAACAAACAAACAATGAGAAATGGCAAACTAGAAATAATTCCATTTCCAGTAGCATCAAAAACTGTCTATGAAGAAACTTGACTAAAGTTTTGTGAATTTTCTACACTGAAAACTTCAAATCTCTGAAGAGAACACATTAAGGAATGCACTAGAAGATGGAAAGATTGTTCAGGATCATGGTTTGTTATAACTAATATTGTAAAAATGACTATCCTAATACAATTTAGAGATTCAATGTAATCCCATCCAAAATATTCTTGAGATTTTTATAGAAATAAAAAATAATCCTAAAATTTTTGTGGAACCATAGAAACACTCTGTATAGTCAATAACTTCTGAGAAAAAATAATTCTGGAGGGATTACATTACCACATTCAAAGCTGTGTTATACACCTATTCTAATAAAAACAGCATGATACTAGCAAAACCAGACACATGGTCAATGGAATGAAATAGGAATCCCACACAGGACTGTGTCTAGTTACAGCCTTGTGATATTTGATAAAGATCCTAAAAATACATAGTGGCTCGAACTGTTTGAGGGGCACCCAGGCAGGGTGATTGGGATCCTTCCCTGGTGCTTGGGCATGCTTTTGGGAATCCGGTAACTGTGGACGCCTTGTGCATCCTTGGTACAGTGGGAAGGAGCTTGGACCTGATTCTCCTGACTATCTGTGGGAGACCTTGATTTTGGGTATGCGGGGATGTGGAGTGACTTGGGAGAGAGGTCTGGGAAGTGGGAGGAGGGATGAAGGGGGTTCTGTGGGTGGTTTGTAGAGTAAGTAGAAAATTTCTTAATAAAGAAAAATGAAACCAAATAAAATAAAAAATACATAGTGGAGGGAAGACAGTATCTTCAACAAATAGCTGTCTAAACAATGTCTACATGTAGAAGAATGAAATTAGATCCGTATTTACCACCCTGTAGAGAAAATCAACTCCAAATGATTCAAAATCTTATGTGAACTCTGAAATCCTGAAACTTCCAGAAGAAAAAATAGGCAGCAATCTGCAGGATACAGTCATAGAAAAAGACTTTCTGAATAAGACTCCCTTCACACAGGATTAAGGATAATAACTGATGAATGGGATCTCATAAAACTAAATATCTGTACAACAAATGAAATAATAAAGTAAAGATGAAGGTCACATGTTGAGAGAGACTCTTTTCCAGCTATACTTTTGTGAGGAGATTAATATCCAGAATGCACAGGGAACTCAAAGCAAATGAACAATCAAATAACCAATCAAGAAAGCAAAAAGCTCAAATGAAAATGGGCAAGGGACCTACAGAAAGGGTTCAAAACAAAGAAATAAAATGGATAACAAGTACTGCAAAAATTGTCAATATTCTTAGGGTTATATAATTCCAAAATAAAAATTCTTTGATATTTTCTCTTACACCATTCAGAATGGCCAATATCAAGAAAGAAGTTGACAACAAAAGATTGGGGGGATGCTTGAAAAAGGAAACCCTCATGTATTGTGGGAATTATCTCTGCCAATGACCTTGGACCCATAGAGGTGTGTGTCTGTGGTTTTTTTTCTGGGTACATGACTGCTTAAATCTTAGGAGGAGGCAAACACTCATGCTCTCCCTTGGGTGGTGGAGAATGAGTCATGCAGTGTGAACTGACATGTGTCTATCTCCATCTTTCCTGGGCAAATTGAAGGGCTCTGCAACTAGATCTACCTGATCCTGTAACCATGATTCTTTTTTCTCATAGCATCCATTAATAAATTGATACATGCTCATATATATACCCTTTTGGCTCTCGTTTCACTCATCCACCTTTGGTGGGTGTGCAAACTAGAGTAATCAATATGGGAATAGAGGTGGAGAATTCTGACATCCTAAATATACATTAATCTTACGACCCAGCTATATCACATATACATATACCTCGGCATATGTTCAAAGGAGTCAACGTCCTAATTCACAGATACTGGCTCATCCATGTTCATTGCCATTCTCTTCACAATAGCCAGGTAGGGAAACAACATATATCGTACAACTACTGAATGGCCTGAAAATGTGGTACATACATAATGGAATATTAACTTTCTGTGAAGAGACAATGTTCCTTTAACCACATCACCACATTACATGTTATTCCTTCCAGATAGGATATGTTGACCATCTCCTCTACACTCCACCCTGCTGGGCTATAGTCCCAAAGAGAAATAATGGAGCTAGGTCTTCCAATTGTGGATCAAAGATTCCATTGTTATGCTCCTTTTTATAAAGGGAATGGCCTTGAATGTCACAACACTTGAGAACAACTCCAGTGCCTCCTCCAAGATGCTGGCAGTTCTGTTCACAGCGGCCTTGCTGGTCCTGAGCTCAGCTCAGAGCCCCAATGGAGGTACAAAGCCTTATAGGGTGGGAGATGGAGACTTTCAAGAGAAAGAATGAAGAAAAGAGAGGATAAGGGGGGAGAGAAAGGACAGAATCAGGTGAGAAGAAAGACAGTCCAACAGAATATCTGTGATAAGGGTTAGAACAGATATCCTCAGCACACAACATACTCTTTTTACTTAATATTTAGTCTGGAAGGCATAAAAGGATTGAGCAGAGGAACAAGATGACCCATTTGTGTTTAGAAAAGTGCTGTCCAGCTCTAAAGAGGCATGGAAAAATGTTGAGATTATTGAGCATCTTCTGATAATCAGAGTGAATACTGGGATCAGCTGTCCTTGCTGCACAGTGGATGCCAGACACATGATATAGATAAAAACACCACGATTAGTTTAAGATCAGAGAATTACAGAGTAAATTCAGTGCTCTAGACACTTAAGTACAAGTATTGGAGCCCAATCTAAATATTTTACTCAGGCCTACATTCAGAGTTTTAGTATGCTTCAGGCAGTATGTGTTACTTTGTGTCATGTGTACTCCTTGATTTACCTCTTGAGAGCTCTAAGAATTAATGAAGGAACAAACTGTGGGACATAGTCTTAAGGTGACTGAAATATGCGGAATACTTAGGAAAAGGGAGCTGTTTGTTTTGTAGATGTGCAGGGAGGATAAAAGGTTTTCTATTTAGAGCTAGTGGGTGGCAGCACAGGGAATCCGTACATGCTCTTGCATCCCAGATCCTTTCCAGGAGTGTCTCAGATGCTGACTCCTGAGCTCATTCATGCTCAGAAGCTTGATTCTGGAAAGTCACATTTTCTTGCAGGACATCTGTAAGCTCTGAAAGATTGCAATCTGAATTTTCAGTTCATCCTATACCACATTTGTAGAGGATCCTTCTGTTGTTTCAGCTGGTAAAGCCCACTCCATCATCCTTCCATGTTGTTCAATGGTCTGTGTTTCAGTATGTTGTCTTACGATATTTTCTGTCTTAGGAATGAAAAAATATTGGTTTCTGTAAAGATATAAATGCATTCCCCAACCTTGATACTTGGAATGTTTGAGTTCATTTAGCTGAATGATAGAGAGACCAACCTTCCATAATAGCAGAATGAATATGTCTGCTTTCCATCCAGAAGTGATCTCTGTCAGATGAGGCAGAAACCAAAAGTGCCTTAACGCTGCCTCCCCTGGTAGTGGGAGGGTCTGTGGCTTCCCTCTTCCTCAGTGTTCCTGTCTATCATTACACAGTTCATGAACAAGATGGAGAAACACTTGGCTTTCCCTGTTTTCTCTCTGCTGTTTTCCCCATTCACCATGTAACTGTCTTTGATTTAAAAAGAAATGACAAATTGTCCCCAGACTTTTATTATTGAATTTGGTGGTGGCCATTTTGTTCTCTTCTCTCAGGGTTTCAGTGTGTAGATGTAAAATATTGAAAAGCTAAGTCAAATTTCATCCTAGGGTTCAAAAACCAGGGCTAGAAGCCCTTGCACAGGCAGGGAGTTCATAAAGTGTCCTTAATCACAATTGGAAACCTTCCTCATGTTAATGTATTCTTCTTTTGCATTACTGCCTTTTTGCCTTTGGGGACCTCTCATGTGATAAATAAGGGTCCTCAGACTTTCATGTTTTCCAGCTGTAGGGACACATGCTTGTCCTAGGATACAAATATCAAACCTTCTGTCTCATTGGGATGTAGATTTAGAAAGCCAAGGACAAGGATGTGTGGAAGAAGAAGTTAGCAGTTGGCAGACAGGTTCTGGGAGAAAGGATTGTGTGATCAGGTCAGGGAAAGAAAACAAAAGGAAATTCTTTCACCAATGTGCTCTTCTCTTCTGTCCCCACCCATACAGATCCTGAAAGCCAGAGCACAGTCCCAGTGGCCTCTGCTGCTCCTGAGGCTGAAAATGATCCACAGAGTGATTCCCCACCAGGAGAGGAACAAGTGTCCTCTGATGCTGTTGAGAATGAAGTAAATAATCCACAGCAGGAACAATCTGCAGAAGGGCTTCAGCATCAATCTTCTACTCTTCCTGAAGACTCTCAAGGACCAGTCCAACAAGAAGGCCAGCAGCATGACTTTCCTCCTCCTGAGTTTCAACATAGACCTCCTCCTCGTGGTCCTTTTTCAGGCAACAAAAGGAATCCTTCCCATATTGGCCATGGAAAACAAAGACCACCTCTAGGTAGAGGAAAGAACGTGAAAAAACCACCTCATCATTTTTCGTTAAGACAGCATCCTTAGGTGAGATGCTTTTGAGACAAATCTTCCCATTAATCCAGATGCCAGTGACAAGTATTAGTCAAATTATTAAACAGAAACCCTTCTCTTCTGTATTTCTCAAAGCATAGTACAAAAATTAGTTAACTGTAGAGACATCCTCCATGGGCCCATTTCTAATCTTTGCATTCAGATAGTATAAGATGGTATATGTGTGTTGTTATAGGCAGACCTTGGACAAGCTCTCCAAGGTATTTCTGCTTTTGAGGAATATAGCTCCACAGTTCCTATTATCTCAGTCATTGCCTGTTGAGTTCGGTTGGTTTTTAGAAGTACAGCAGCAACCTCTCTTTGGTTGCCTGTCTCCTGTGTTCAATATCACTGATCTCTCATCTCCAACCTGTACATTCTGCCCCACTCATACCAGGGATGTTCAGATCCATTGTCTCTAAGTGATACCTTAGAGATACTCTGACCTTATCCAGACTTTTAATACATTCTTCTAAATTTGTGTGTCCTCAAGTTTCACATGACCTACCTTCCTAGGAGGGTACAAGGGTATAAATATTATGATTATATATTTTCCTGAGTACCCATGCTTGTCCTTGGAAGCCACTAGTTTTAATCTTATCGCAACCCTCCTAGGAATATTACTTTGTGTGTGTGTGTGTGCTATTATATAAATGTAGCATTCAATTTTACATGAATGTCCTTCTGTGTAGAACTTTAGGTTATTTATCGAAAAAACCACATTTCTTATAAAACTGCATTGCTTCATACAAGTATGTTACATGGATCTCCCTATAGCATGCTTCACTGATGTTCTTGGTTATATGTTGCTGTTTGTGTACTGAGAATTTTCTTGTGTTAACATTGTATACTATTGCATTGCATGATCTGCCTTGATCTCCTTATTTGTCATTCTTTTAATAGACATTTAGGCTGGTTTCAATTTTTCATCCAGTTAGGGTGCATTTCATTGAACATCTTTCGAAATAAATCCTTGAATATTTTAAATCAGAACCAAAGGATGAACAAGCTAAGAAACGTTATTCCCTTCCATATTGTAAGAAGTAGCTCACTTCCATTGTATGCTCTGTGCCTGCCAAGAGTAAACCTGAGAAAATGAGGAAGGAGAGAGAGGAAGTAGTTGGGAGAAGAAGAGGGTTGGGCTCCCACCTTTCTCACTTCAGTGGTACCAGGAAGAGTTGAAACTCCAGCATGTCCCAAGTTTTCACTCACTTTCCTCCTTCCTTTTCTGTTTCAGAGAGTGCCTGAGAAGACTATGTACTTCCTGAAAAATAGGCCAAGAAGTCATTGTTGACTGACTACCTGACCCTAATAAAATTTTCAGCATTCAGTTTCTGAGTGTTGTGTATAATTCTTAGCAATGGAGGGGCTAGAATTTGAGTGGTGTGGTTATAACATAAGAACATCCAGAAAAGCATCCCATGGATTCTGGGGAAGCTTTCCATCTTTTTGTCCACAACACAGATAGCAAATGAAAACACTGTATGGCCCTGTATCTCCATGCTTTAATTTTAACACAATCTACACTGAAGTGCTTTTTTTTAAATTGTAAGAATTAATATGATGGAATTATGGAACGGCACTGGCAGTAGAATTTTTTTTTTTTTTTTTTTTTTTTAGTATTTAAAAATATCACTTAAAACTGAGTGAACAACTTGACAGCAAACCCAGAACATCTTGGGAATATTTTCCATGAAACTACATGTTACCATTTCCCTGAATCCAAAGTATAGCAGCAACAGCTGGAAGTCAGAAACCTAGCCTCTTCCAGCTGTGCACAAGAAGTGGAGGGAATAACAGGGAATAATGAATTGGCCTGTTCATAGGGGCAACCTGTTCTCACCATATCAAATGGAGAAGCTATGGCAGCAGAGGTCAAACCTGAGGGCTTTGCTCAGTCCAGCTCCACCTAGCACAGGGTCTGATTTGGAACACCTGAGAGCAGAGCCCTAGGTCTCCACAGTGAAGAGAAACTGCTCAATTCATTACCAGAATTGATCACAGTAGGAGCAGATGAATAAAGAAGAATAAGTTAATGAGAAAAGTGGAGGATATTGACAATGGCAGGATGCTGTAGTGAAAAATTTCCCCATGTTTATGAGTTTTTCAAGAGACCAAATGAAAGTACTTGAATCAAGATACTTGATGATGAAAGCACACCTTGATGAATCAAGATACTCCAGGTGATGAAAGCACACCTGGAGATGTGAGGTCCTGACCAGCAGCATGTGGTAGGCCTGCAGGAGAGAAATTAGCTAGAGAGGAGAGTGAAGGAGAGAGCCAGGCAGACTCACTCATGTTATGTAGGTGAGATTGGACATGGCGGTACTGGGGGGAAAACATCACAGTCCATCTTTTCCTGGTTCACACAAGATAGCGTGTGATTCTGACAAATGTCACTCAAGTCCTTCCCAGCTTTTTTCCACTGTCAGCAATCAGTGAAGAGATTGATGTATCATTAAATAGATATGAGCTATGAACTCATTGGAGATAATAAAAATAGAATGTAGAGAAAATCTGAGAGAGAAAACTGAGTTAGCAAGAGTGGGGTTGAAGCAATGAGCCCCATGAAACACGCCCTTTATCTCCCAGGGCCCTGGAGGTTCTCTGTCACTCGTGTTCTAAATCTATTTCAAAGGCAACATGGCTCAGACAGAATTACTAATTTCCTCCTGTCACACCGGAGGACCACCTGTCCCTCTGTTTCTGAAGAGTACTAAGGCCTTCAAATGCATTAAAATGTAGAATCCATCTGGTACATCAAATCATTACTCCCCTGTGTGGTTGGAAAATTGAAGTGAGGTTTACCAGGTGAGCTGCTTAGCCTGTGCTGGCCAGAGTGAATTGCATCAGGCCCTTTTGCTCTAGAAAGCATTATTGTGTTAATGAATTGACTAAGCATTTTTGAGATATAAGTAGCAATAAACAATACATTAAATTATAACCTTAGCATTTAATTAAAGTATAACCTTATCATTTGGGATACAAAGGAAGGAGATAAAAATCAAAGTCATCCTTGGCTTCAAAATAATTTTGAGGCCAGTGTGGGATACATGAGGCCTTGTCTTCAACAACAAACAAGCAATATCAAGCCAAGAACAAACAATCATAAACAAGAAGTTGTAAATTAAAAAAATTAAAAATAAAAGAGAGCATTAGAGCAGATACCAGTGAAATCCAGAGGATTACTGAATGGTATCCCAGCATGTAGAGGGGAAACAGGTATGGAAGTTCATCCCTACTTGTAGAGCTATTGGCAGCTTTCAACTTCTGAGAAAGGAAGGGTCAGTTTTCTCTAAGAGTATTGTCCTCTGTAATTTACTGTGCTCTTTTGGAAGGCTACATATCTAAGAATATGTGCAGCACAAAATATGGCTTAATGGGACACACACACACACACACACACACACACACACACACACACACACACACACAAATCATGAATGCATAAGTAAGTGAGTTTAGAGGATGACTGGTATTAGAAAGAATGGAGGAATATAGTTTCAGAGATGCATATGAGAAAAGGACAGTGAAATGTATGTATGAATATATCAAAGCCAAGCCACTTCTTTGTATGATACAAATTTGAAGTAAAAAGCATAAGAATAAAAGATTAAAATTATGTTGCTTTCATAAAAATGTATATAACATGGGCATCACCATCTTAAGCTAAATAATCTAGTCCTACATCAGTGCACATGCATATGAACTCAATATGTCTCAAGAAAGAGGATGTGGAATTATGAAAAAATATCAGTTGACTGGATAGCTAAGAAATTAGAGAGGAGCAGAAAAATGATGGTTTAGATCAAAACCCATTATATACATGTATGGACTTCTCAAACAACAAAAATAAATGATCCATAAATAAATAATTGTGCTAAATATTAAAAAATAACAACAAAACAAAATGTTTATAATGACTGACATGAAGCTGACACCTGCCCATTTCTTCATCCCCATCTTCCTCCCTGATAGCTTTGCTTGTGAGCTCTTCCGTAATCTGGTTTCATGGTGTCCATTGAGTTCTGAGGTGATATTTTTCTTTCATGATACATTACCCTCTTCACTCATTGCTGACAATGAAGAAGGTCAGGCAAGGGAGCTGAGCCGAGTGACATTTGGCAGAAGCTACTCCGTTTCAGGACACATCAAGCCAAGGTCAAGGCTGACTTTCCCCAGGACTTCTGCTTCCACAGTATGAGAAGTGCAGCCTGCTTCTTCCCCTGGCTGTTTCTCTCTACCTTTCCCACTTGAAGCTTTTTTAACCACCCTTTGAAGACCTCTCAGACCATTCTCACTTTCCATTTAGTATCTGGAGAAATAAGACAGTGTCCTGGCCTAAATATAAGGGATGCCAGGACTAATCACCTTCCCTTTCTCCATTAAAGCCAATCAGTCTAGGGCGAACTACAAAGTCATAACTGGAGTAGTTTTGCCAAGTCCTAGTATCTACTCTTTAGAATACACACCCACTAAAGCCTGAATAAATTATATTATCATTGTTGGTCTTTATGGGCTGCATCATCATTGGCTAACATAGTTTTTTTTAGGCCTACCTGTAATAATCTCTGTACCCTTTGCCCTTCATAGGCAGAGCCCCAGACTCCATGATTTACAATGGTTGAGGGAGACTTCTTAGAGATTTCTACCCATATGACCTTAGATGCCTTATCTCAATCCAAAGTCCCTCACATACCACCACCCTGCAATAATCCGAACATCATGCAATTCCCCATAGAGTGTTGAATGATACAGGCAGCTGTGCTTACTGACCAGTATGAATTTCCAAGTGAAATATGAACAAACAATGTTAGGTATAATAAAGCTAATAATAGGAGAGAAAAGAGCCATCAGACCATTCACCCAAAGAAGAGTCACTGCACACAGAATACCTTGTGTTCAAAATTAAGAATGAACATAATTTAGGAAAGGTAAAATTAGCAATATCATTAGAAGGCTAAATGCAGAGATTGTGCCAGAATAAATGTGATACATGTGGAAAATTAAATTAGTTCATGGCAGGAAATATCAATAATCTATTTTCACAAGGAAAATGTACAATAACAAGAATCAGTATTTGACAGAAAACCCTCTATTAAAAATCAACCAGAAAGCATCATAGAAGGAGGCTGTATACAGTGCAGGCATGACAGACACATAATTCCTACTTAGAAGCTGTGTATACCATCCTAAGCACAGGTTTAATGTGGTCAATCACATATCATGACTGATAATAAAACTACTCCTTAAGAGAAAGAAGAACACTCATATTCAGCCTCATGGAACATGATGGAGAAGGGAGTACTCTTACAAGAACTCTCACAACATGAAACACATATTAATTCTGGAAAATATATATTCACATCACTGTCTGAATTCCTTTGAAGGTCTTGGCCATTTTTACTTTACCAACCTTTAGAATTGGAATAAAAATGAGACTTTTTTAGACCATGTAATCTTTTGTTTTTTAATTTTTTATTCATTTTACATACCAACCACAGACCCCGTCTCAACCCTCCCTCCCTCGAACCCCCTTTTCCCCTCCTCTAAAATGGTAAGTTGGGCACGGACAGCTAAGCCTAGTATATACAGTAGAGGCAGGACCAAGCCCCTTCCCAGTGTATCAAACGTGAGCAAAGTGTCTGACCATAGGTAATGGGATCCAGAAAGCCAGCTCATGAACCAGGGATAGATCCTTATCACACACCAGGGGCCCCTCAAACAGACCCAGCTACACAACTGTCTCTCATATGCAGAGGATCTAGTCTGGTCCTATTCAGGTTCCACAGCTGTCATAGACCATGCAATCTTTATCAACAGGGCATCTCTGCCTAGAATCAGATGGTTTGAGATTGAGAAATGTTTTGTGGGCCTGCACAGACCGATGGTCAATCTTCTAAATCTAATATCAAAGTAATATCCTAACACATTAGAGGCTTGGGTAGGAATCACACCCATATCACCAAAACAATAGTTAAGTATCACACACAAATGGCACATTTATTATGATTGATGGAGATCTGGCTGTAGTCATGATGGGAGATGCAGTGCTTACTGTGTTCTTTGAATGCTATATCGTCTCTATTGGTACATCTCTACACCTCCTCCACTCCAGAACACACATGAACAACACTGAGTGTGATCAAGCACTGTCAACTAGACTGACATTAAAATAATGAAGAAAATTTAATTCAAATACCTAGGCTTGTTACAGAGAAAATATTCCTGTTTTAAAAATTTCTATGAGACTTTCATATGTGAGTATTTTAATTGCATAATTTTTATCCTTTCCTAACCTAAGTCTTTTTCTCCTCTCACATTTCCTCTTAAATCCATGACATCTGATTTAATGATTATTGATACACACATACTCACACATGCTTCTAAATATCACTGGCTGAACCTATCTAGTTTTGCCTGTATGTGTATGTGTTTAGGGCAGGCCACTTGAAATTGGATATACGCAGGCTCATCCTAGTAGAAGACTAAGATTCTCTGCCTCAGAAGTCATTAATTTACTGTATTTCTTTATCTATGAGTTTGGCCTTATGTGATTTCCACCGACTATGTGGGCATGCCAAATAGTGTGCACATTTTGCCAGTTGTCTTTAGGTAACGCTCATTGAGATTTCAGGGGTGCAGTTTCCTGTCATGTGTAAAAGACACTATCTTGCAGATGTCCTAGTCCTCTGTATTTTACAGTCATTCTGCTTCCTCTTCCATAATGTTTTCTGAGCCATATGTGTAGGGGTTGTGGTGTAGAAGTATAAAGTGTGGATGGGCACCATGAGGTTGTTTTTCTGGACTCTGACCAGGTGAACATTTCTGTATATTGTCTTCCTGCTACAGCAGAAGGTTTTTTTTTTTTTTTTTTTTTTTTTTTTTTTTTTTTTTTTTTATGAAAGTAAAGAGCTACAGTTGTCTGTGTTTATAAAGCTAAGTATTGAGAATATAGTTGGATTTCTCTAGGGACACTATTGACCTCTTTTCTTCCTTAGCAACACTCTCATAACTTTTGGGATGCTATGGAAGCTAGTCTTCAGGCAGGAAGCTTCCAGAATTTTCAAACCTGATTCCTCCAAGTCCTATTTCCAAAAGATGTAGTGTCATCTGTAATAGGCTCTTACCATCATGTTCTGGAAGGCAACCCAGTACAATGGAAATAGCTGATATTGTTTGGAGGTCTTTTGGACCCACTATTCTAAGGGAAGTTTCCCACGCTCTCCTTTCAGTTTTTGTTAGGTTGTCCATGCCTCTTGGTGGAGGCATTATCTACCAAGAGGTGTAACTTCATTTAAACTATGTATGTACTTGTTTGGATACATATACATTTATGTTTTCTGCATGTATTTTAAATAAAAATAGAATATATGCTTTCCATATCATTTTCCAATATATTTAGTGTTATTTACCCCTCTTTGGTCTCCGCATTTTTTCTGTTTCCCCTCATAGCACCATTATCCTACCATTGTCCTCTCTAGAACTCTTTCTCTTCCTTAATGCCTTTTGATCTTTTTACTTCCCTGGTTACTGTGGTAACTCCAGGTTCGGTTTATTTATATCTAAATATTCAGAGGTATGATCCACATACATAAGAGAATGTCTAGCATTTCTTTTTCTGTGTGTGGATTACCTCACTCAGTATAATATTTTGTAGACCTATGCATTTACCTGCTAAAACTTCTAGAAATCATCAGCACTTTCACCAAAGTGGCAGGATACAAAATCAACTTAGAACAAAATAACATCCTTCCTATATACTGTGAACAAAAAAACAAACAATCAATCAAACAAACAAACAATGAGAAATGGCAAACTAGAAATAATTCCATTTCCAGTAGCATCAAAAACTGTCTATGAAGAAACTTGACTAAAGTTTTGTGAATTTTCTACACTGAAAACTTCAAATCTCTGAAGAGAACACATTAAGGAATGCACTAGAAGATGGAAAGATTGTTCAGGATCATGGTTTGTTATAACTAATATTGTAAAAATGACTATCCTAATACAATTTAGAGATTCAATGTAATCCCATCCAAAATATTCTTGAGATTTTTATAGAAATAAAAAATAATCCTAAAATTTTTGTGGAACCATAGAAACACTCTGTATAGTCAATAACTTCTGAGAAAAAATAATTCTGGAGGGATTACATTACCACATTCAAAGCTGTGTTATACACCTATTCTAATAAAAACAGCATGATACTAGCAAAACCAGACACATGGTCAATGGAATGAAATAGGAATCCCACACAGGACTGTGTCTAGTTACAGCCTTGTGATATTTGATAAAGATCCTAAAAATACATAGTGGCTCGAACTGTTTGAGGGGCACCCAGGCAGGGTGATTGGGATCCTTCCCTGGTGCTTGGGCATGCTTTTGGGAATCCGGTAACTGTGGACGCCTTGTGCATCCTTGGTACAGTGGGAAGGAGCTTGGACCTGATTCTCCTGACTATCTGTGGGAGACCTTGATTTTGGGTATGCGGGGATGTGGAGTGACTTGGGAGAGAGGTCTGGGAAGTGGGAGGAGGGATGAAGGGGGTTCTGTGGGTGGTTTGTAGAGTAAGTAGAAAATTTCTTAATAAAGAAAAATGAAACCAAATAAAATAAAAAATACATAGTGGAGGGAAGACAGTATCTTCAACAAATAGCTGTCTAAACAATGTCTACATGTAGAAGAATGAAATTAGATCCGTATTTACCACCCTGTAGAGAAAATCAACTCCAAATGATTCAAAATCTTATGTGAACTCTGAAATCCTGAAACTTCCAGAAGAAAAAATAGGCAGCAATCTGCAGGATACAGTCATAGAAAAAGACTTTCTGAATAAGACTCCCTTCACACAGGATTAAGGATAATAACTGATGAATGGGATCTCATAAAACTAAATATCTGTACAACAAATGAAATAATAAAGTAAAGATGAAGGTCACATGTTGAGAGAGACTCTTTTCCAGCTATACTTTTGTGAGGAGATTAATATCCAGAATGCACAGGGAACTCAAAGCAAATGAACAATCAAATAACCAATCAAGAAAGCAAAAAGCTCAAATGAAAATGGGCAAGGGACCTACAGAAAGGGTTCAAAACAAAGAAATAAAATGGATAACAAGTACTGCAAAAATTGTCAATATTCTTAGGGTTATATAATTCCAAAATAAAAATTCTTTGATATTTTCTCTTACACCATTCAGAATGGCCAATATCAAGAAAGAAGTTGACAACAAAAGATTGGGGGGATGCTTGAAAAAGGAAACCCTCATGTATTGTGGGAATTATCTCTGCCAATGACCTTGGACCCATAGAGGTGTGTGTCTGTGGTTTTTTTTCTGGGTACATGACTGCTTAAATCTTAGGAGGAGGCAAACACTCATGCTCTCCCTTGGGTGGTGGAGAATGAGTCATGCAGTGTGAACTGACATGTGTCTATCTCCATCTTTCCTGGGCAAATTGAAGGGCTCTGCAACTAGATCTACCTGATCCTGTAACCATGATTCTTTTTTCTCATAGCATCCATTAATAAATTGATACATGCTCATATATATACCCTTTTGGCTCTCGTTTCACTCATCCACCTTTGGTGGGTGTGCAAACTAGAGTAATCAATATGGGAATAGAGGTGGAGAATTCTGACATCCTAAATATACATTAATCTTACGACCCAGCTATATCACATATACATATACCTCGGCATATGTTCAAAGGAGTCAACGTCCTAATTCACAGATACTGGCTCATCCATGTTCATTGCCATTCTCTTCACAATAGCCAGGTAGGGAAACAACATATATCGTACAACTACTGAATGGCCTGAAAATGTGGTACATACATAATGGAATATTAACTTTCTGTGAAGAGACAATGTTCCTTTAACCACATCACCACATTACATGTTATTCCTTCCAGATAGGATATGTTGACAATCTCCTCTACACTCCACCCTGCTGGGCTATAGTCCCAAAGAGAAATAATGGAGCTAGGTCTTCCAATTGTGGATCAAAGATTCCATTGTTATGCTCCTTTTTATAAAGGGAATGGCCTTGAATATCACAACACTTGAGAACAACTCCAGAGCCTCCTCCAAGATGCTGGCAGTTCTGTTCACAGCGGCCTTGCTGGTCCTGAGCTCAGCTCAGAGCCCCAATGAAGGTACAAAGCCTTATAGGGTGGGAGATGGAGACTTTCAAGAGAAAGAATGAAAAAAAGAGAGGATAAGGGGGGAGAGAAAGGACAGAATCAGGTGAGAAGAAAGACAGTCCAACAGAATATCTGTGATAAGGGTTAGAACAGTTATATCCTCAGCACACAACATACTCTTTTTACTTAATATTTAATCTGGAAGGCATAAAAGGCTTGAGCAGAGGAACAAGATGGCCCATTTGTGTTTAGAAAAGTGCTGTCCAGCTCTAAAGAGGCATGGAAAAATGTTGAGATTATTGAGCATCTTCTGATAATCAGAGTGAATATTGGGATCAGCTGTTCTTGCTGCACAGTGGATGCCAGACACATGATATAGATAAACACACCACGATGAGTTCAAGATCAAAAATTACAGAGTAAATTCAATGCTCTAGACACTTAAGTACAAGTATTGGAGCCCAATCTAAATATTTTACTCAGGCCTACATTCAGAGTTTTAGTATGCTTCAGGCAGTATGTGTTACTTTGTATCATGTGTACTCCTTGATTTACCTCTTGAGAGCTCTAAGAATTAATGAAGGAACAAACTGTGGGACATAGTCTTAAGGTGACTGAAATATGCAGCATACTTAGGGAAAGGGAGCTGTTTGTTTTGTAGATGTGCAGGGAGGATAAAAGGTTTTCTATTTAGAGCTAGTGGGTGGCAGCACAGGGAATCCGTACATGCTCTTGCATCCCAGATCCTTTCCAGGAGTGTCTCAGAGGTTGACTCATGAGCTCATTCATGCTCAGAAGCTTGATTCTGGAAAGTCACATTTTCTTGCAGGACATCTGTAAGCTCTGAAAGATTGTGATCTGAATTTTCAGTTCATCCTATGCCACATTTGTAGAGGATCCTTCTGTTGTTTCAGCTGGTAAAGCCCAATCCATCATCCTTCCATGTTGTTCAATGGTCTGTGTTTCAGTATGTTGTCTTACCATATTTGCTGTCTCTGGAATGAATAAATATTGGTTTCTCTAAAGATATAAACACATTCCCCGACCTTGATACTTGGAATGTGATTGAGTTCAGTTAGCTGAATGATAGAGAGACCAAGCTTCCATAATAGCAGAATGAATATGTCTGCTTTCCATCCAGAAATGATCTCTGTCAGATGAGGCAGAAACCAAAAGTGCCTTAACGCTGCCTCCCCTGGTAGTGGGAGGGTCTGTGGCTTCCCTCTTCCTCAGTGTTCCTGTCTATCATTACACAGTTCATGAACAAGATGGAGAAATACTTGGCTTTCCCTGTTTTCTCTCTGCTGTTTTCCCCATTCACCATGTAACTGTCTTTGATTTAAAAAGAAATGACAAATTGTCCCCAGACTTTTATTATTGAATTTGGTGGTGGCCATTTTGTTCTCTTCTCTCAGGGTTTCAGTGTGTAGATGTAAAAAAATTGAAAAGCTAAGTCAAATTTCATCCTAGGGTTCAGAAACCAGGGCTAGAAGCCCTTGCATATGCAGGGAGTTCGTAAAGTGTCCTTGATCACAATAGGAAACCTTCCTCATGTTAATGTATTCTTCTTTTGCATTACTGCCTTTTTGCCTTTGGGGACCTCTCATGTGATAAATAAGGGTCCCCAAACTTTCATGTTTTTCAGCTGTAGGGGCACATGCTTGTCCCAGGATACAAACACCAAATCTTCTGTCTCATTGGGATGTAGATTTAGAAAGCCAAGGACAAGGATGTGTGGAAGAAGAAGTTAGCAGTTGGCAGACAGGTTCTGGGAGAAAGGATTGTGTGATCAGGTCAGGGAAAGAAAACAAAAGGAAATTCTTTCACCAATGTGCTCTTCTCTTCTGTCCCCACCCATACAGATACTGAAAGCCAGAGCCCAGTCTCAGTGGACTCTGCTGCTCCTGAGGCTGAAAATGATCCACAGAGTGAATCTCCACCAGGAGAGGAACAAGTGTTCTCTGATGCTGTTGAGAATGAAGTAAATAATCCACAGTAGTAACCATCTACAGAAGGGCTTCAGGATCAATCTTCTACTCTTCCTGAAGACTCACAAGGACCAGTCCAACAAGAAGGCCAGAAGCATGACTTTCCTCCTCTTGAGTTTCAACATAGACCTCCTTCTCATGGTCCTTTTTCAGGCAACAAAAGGAATCCTTCCCATATTGGCCATGAAAAACAAAGACTACCTTTAGGTAGAGGACAAAATATGAAAAATCCATCCTGTCATCCTTATTTTAGACAGTTTCCTTTGGTGAGTTGCTTTTGAAACTTATCTTCCCAGTAATCCAGATGTCAGTGACATGTATTAGTCAAATTATTAAATAGAAATCCTTCCCATCTGTATTTCTCAAAGCATAGTGCAAAAAGTAGTTAACTGGAGAGACATCCTCCATGGGCCCATTTCTAATCTTTGCATTCAGATAGTATAAGATGGCATATGTGTGTTGTTATAGGCAGACCATGGACAAGCTCTCCAAGGTATTTCTGGCTTTGAGGAATATAGCTCCACAGCTCTTATTATCTCAGTGATTGTCTGTTGAATTTGGTTGGTTTTTAGAAGTACAGCAGCAACCTCTCTTTGGTTGCCTGTCTCCTGTGTTCAATATCACTGATCTCTCATCTCCAACCTGTACATTCTGCCCTACTCACACCAGGGATGTTCAGATCTATTGTCTCTAAGTGATACCTTAGAGATACCTCTGACCTTGTCCAGACTTTTAATACATTCTTCTAAATTTGTGTGTGCCCAAGTTCCTCATAACGTACCTTTCTAGGAGGGTGCAAGGTTGAATATTATGGTTATATATTTTTCTCAGTTCCCATGCTTTCTTTTTTCTGAGTTTCTGGGAGCCACTAGTTTTAATCCTATCGCAACCCTTTAGAAATATTACTTTTTGTATGTGTGCTATTATGTAAACGTAGCATTCAAATTTACATGAATGTCCTTCTGTGTAGTACTTTAGGTTATTTATCGAAATAACTACATTTCTTATAAAACTGCATTGCTTCATACAAGTATGTTACATGGATCTCCCTATAGCATGCTTCACTGATGTTCTTGGTTATATGTTGCTGTTTGTGTACTGAGAATTTTCTTGTGTTAACATTGTATACTACTGCATTGCATGGTCTGCCTTGATCTCCTTATTTGTCATTCTTTTAATAGACATTTAGGCTGGTTTCAGTTTTTCATCCAGTTAGGGTGCATTTCAGTGAACACCTTTCAAAATAAATCCTTGAATATTTTAAATCAGATCCAAAGGATGAACAAGCTAAGAAACATTATTCACTTCCATACTGTAAGAAACAGCTCAGTTCCATTGTATTGTCTGTGCCTGCCAAGAGTAAACCTGAGAAAATGAGGAAGGAGAGAGAGGAAGTAGTTGGGAGAAGAAGAGGGTTGGGCTCCCACCTTTCTCACTTCAGTGGTACCAGGAAGAGTTGAATCTCCAGCATGTCCCAAGTTTCCACTAACTTTCCTCCTTCCTTTTCTGTTTCAGAGAGTGCCTAAGAAGACTATGTACTTCCTGAAAAATAGGCCAAGAAGTCATTGTTGACTGACTACCTGACCCTAATAAAATTTTCAGCATTCGATTTCTGAGTGTTGTGTATAATTCTTAGCAATGGAGGGGCTAGAATTTGAGTGGTGTGGTTATAATATAAGAACATCCAGAAAAGCACCCCATGGAAATTGGGAAAATTATCCGTCTTTTTGTCCACAACACAGATAGCAAATGAAAACACTGCATGGCCCTGTATCTCCATGCTTTAATTTTAACACAATCTACAGTGAATAGATTTTTTTAATCATAAAAGTTAATATGATGGAATTATGGAAAGGCACTGGCAACTTAATTTTTTTTTTTTTTTTTTTTTTTTAGTATCTAAAAATATCACTGAAAACTGACTGAACAGCTAGACAGCAAACCCAGAACATCTTGGAAACATTTCCATCAACCTACACGTTATCATACTGAATCCAAAGTATAGCAGCAGCAGCTGGGAGTCAGAAACCCAGTTTGTTCCTGTAGCACGAATCCTAACTCGTCTTTTCTTTCTTTTTTCTTTCTTTACTTTTTTTTTCATTTTACATACCAATCCCCTCTCTTCCCTTCTCCTTCTACCCATCTTCTGCCAATCCACCCTTATCCACTCTTCCAAGAGGTTAAGTCCTCCCTTGGAGGATCTACAAAGTCTGACATAGTAAATTGAGGCAGAACCAACCCCCTTCCCCCCAGTGTCAAGGCTGAGCAAGGTGTCCCACCCTAGGGAAAGTGTTCCAAAAAGCCAATTCAGCCGGGCGGTGGTGGCGCACGCCTTTAATCCCAGCACTCGGGAGGCAGAGCCAGGCGGATCTCTGTGAGTTCGAGGCCAGCCTGGGCTACCAAGTGAGTTCCAGGAAAGGCGCAAAGCTGCACAGAGAAACCCTGTCTCGAAAAACCAAAAAAAAAAAAAAAAAAAAAGAAAAAAAAAAGCCAGTTCATGCACCTGGGATAAGTCCAGGTCTCACTGCCATGGCTCCCCAAACAGATCTAGCCACATAACTGTCACCCACATTCAGAGGGCCTAGTTCCATACCATGCATGTTCCCCAGCTGACAGGCCAGAGTCCATGAGCTCTTACCAGCTTGGATCAGCTGCCTCTGTGGTTTTTTCCATCATGATCTTGACCTCACTTGCTGCTGTGATCCCTCCTCCCTTTCTTCAACTGAAGTCCAGGAGCTCAGCCCAGTGCTTGGTTGTGGATCACTGCATCTGCTTCCATCAGTTACTTAATGTAGGTTCTATGATGGTAATTAGGGTAGTCATTAATCTGATTATAGGGGAAGGTTAAGTCCAGACACCCTCTCCATTACTGATAGGCATCTTAGCTGGAATCATCCTTGTGGATTCCTGGGGATTTTCCTAGCCCTAGGTTTCTCCCTAACCCCCTAATAGTTCCCTCTACCAAGATCTCTTTCATTGCTCTCCCTCTCCATCCCTCCCTCCACTTGGCCATCTCAGTCCCTTCTGTTCCCATCCCCCATCCCTTCCCTTCTACCCACCCCTCCCAGTTTACCCAGGAGATATTATCTATTTTCCCTTCCTGGGGCCCTCCATGTGTGTCCCTTTTAGGGTTCTCCTTTTTACCTGGCTTCTCTGAGGTTGTGGATTGTAGCCTGGTTATACTTTGCTTTGTGTCTAATATCCACTTAGAGTGAGTACTTACCATGTTTGCCTTTCTGGATCTGGGTTACCTCACTCAGGATGATTCTTTCTAGTTCCATCCATTTACCTATACATTTCATGATGTCATTTTTTTAAACCACTGAGTGTTTCTAATTGGTTTTAATAAAAACCCAGAGCCAGATATCGGGGTAAATGCTGAAAGATCAGAGAGACAAAAGAAATAGCCACAGCCAACTCTCACTTCATCAGTTCCTTAGCCAAAAATACTGTACTCCTGTCTCCTCCTGTATGTATTCCTTTCTCTGTCCAGCCATATCACTATCATTTCCTGTCTCAACTTCTCTAGTGCTGAGATTAAAGGCATGTGCCTCCCAAGTACTGGGAGCAAAGGCATGAGATCCCAAGTGCTGAGATTAAAGGTGTGTGCCACCACTGCCTGATCTCTATCACTAACTAGTGGCTGTTTTTCCCCTCTAATCTTCAGGCAAGCTTTATTTGTTAGAGCATACATAAAATATCACCACATGTTCCCAGCTGTGCACGAGAAGCAGTGGGAGCAACAGGAAATAATGAACAGCCTGTGAACAGGGACAACCTGTTCTCACTATGGCAAGTGAAAAATCGAAGGCAGCAGAAGTCAAACCTCAGAGGATTTTGTTCACTCCAGCTCCACCTAGCACAGGGTTTGAAGTGAGACCTTTGATACATGAGAGCAAAGCCCTAGGGCTTCATAGTGAAGAGGAACTACTCAATGAGTTATCAGAATGGATCACAGGCAGGAACAGAGGAACAGAGAAGAAAAAGTTCATGAGAAGAGTGGAGGCCAGAGTCACAGGCATGATGCACAGTGAAAATTTGTTGAAATTTAGTAGCAATTATTCCCATGCTTTTCAGGAGATGGATAGTATGTGGGAGGGGATTTGGAGTTGAGTGGTCTCAATTAGGGGAACATGGTAGATCTTCAGTTGTGAAATTAGCTAGAGAGAAGACTGAAGGAGAGTGACAGACAGACTTATTTGTGGTATGTGGATGACCTTGGACACGGCAGCACTGGGGGGAATCTACAAAGTCCATTGTTCACAAAAGATAGCTTGTGATTCTGCCAAATGTCACTCAGCTCAAGTCCTCCTCAGGTTTTTTCCCACAATCAACAATGAGTGAAGAGATTAAGGTCTCACGGAATAGAAATGTGAGCTATCTGCTCACTGGAGAAAATAAAAATAGAATCTAGAGAAAAGCTGACAGAAAAAACTGAGTAAGGAAAAGTGGATTTGAAGCATTGAACACCATAATGATAATGGACTAAACCTCGGAAACTGTAAGCCACCCAATTGAATCAGGTTCCTCTGCAATTAAATCTACAAAACAAATTTAATGCTGAATAGATCTAGCACAAGGATGAAGGAGTCACAATCAGATTTCTACTTTCAAATTGCAACTAGGAGTCACACTACTGAAGAAAATGTATGAATCTTCAGAAAATTTATAAAGTCACAACTAAAGGACAAATTTCAACCAGGTTGAACATCAAAAAAATTTGGAGGAAGCTTTATGGTTTTTTGCAAATAATTCACTGCTGCAAAGATATAATTTACTGAGCCAGGCACTGTGGCATACAACTGTAACTCCAGTACAAGGAAGATAGGGAGGAGATGGTTTAGGCATTCATAGCCCAGCCAAGGTCACACAGTGAAGGATTAATCTCTTGATTAGGTCAGGGCCTTAAGGACTCAATGGGTTCCCTAAGCCCCTTCAGTTAGGAACTCAGTCCCCAACTTTTCATATTCAAACTGTAGAATCAGATAATAGTGTTAATGTTATAATACTTAATGTGTAATATTTCTTTGAATAGAGAGCAAACAACTGGGAGAAAATCCTGTAGGTTTCTACAGGCCATCTTTACATTTGCATCCCACTGCTTACTTTGAAAGAACAATTCTTTCTCTCCCTTTTTCAATGGGCCTCAAGTTAAAAGCAGACCTTTTAAGCAATGCAGTCTTTATTTATTCTTCAATCCTCTACTCTGGAGCTTTTAAAAATTGTGGCCATCAGTTCTTTACAACTATCTGTACCACCCTTTGCGATGAACATACTGGTAATCTTTGAGTTTCCATGCTCATTTCTGTTTGCAGCTATTTATTAGCCCAAACATATTTATAAAATGTTTATAATTACTCTCCTCAACATATCCTTCCTTTCTGGTTGATAATCTGGTCAGTGTATTGTCTCTTAGGCACAATTATGATAAAAATTCCTCATATTCATCATTTAACTTCATGGCTACCAAAGGCCCTAGAGTCCACAACTCAGCATCAGAAGAGAAAGCAAACAGTTGAAGAACCAGATGCTCAAACATACAATGTTTTAATCATTCCCACTTTTCCCTCAGGGTCACCTCCTACTCCTCATTCAAACTAAACTTGGTGCTTCAAGGAAAGAAACATTGTTACATCTTCAGCTGTCTTTAGTCTATGTGTGCTCAGTTGTGTTTCTTTTCATGTTGACGCTCTTTCAATCCATACTCTGTACTAGCTACCTTTAGCAATTCTTCACAAATTCCTAGTCCTCAATTAAGTTCTTTCTGTTTTTTTCCATAAATATTATGAATTCTTACTTTTTTGTTTTTCGAGACAGGGTTTCTCTGTGTAGCTTTGCACCTTTCCTGGATCTCGCTCTGTAGACCAGGCTGGCCTCAAACTCAGAGAGATCTGCCTGCCTCTGCCTCCCGAGTGCTGGGATTAACGGCGTGTGCCACCACCTCCTGGCGAATTCTTAGTTTTAAAAGTGCTTGTTCAGAGACTTTGACTCAAAGGTCAATGTAAATCTTGTTAACTTTCATTTTCTTAGTCCAGTTTCATTTATACCATTTAATAATAGTTGCACTAAGAACTGAAGGTGATCTAGGCTATTTGAAATTTTTCATGATTTAAAATTCTTTTTTTTTTTTTTTTTTTTTTTGGTTTTTCGAGACAGGGTTTCTCTGTGTAGCTTTGCGCCTTTTCCTGGAACTCACTTGGTAGCCCAGGCTGGCCTCGAACTCACAGAGATCCGCCTGGCTCTGCCTCCCGAGTACTGGGATTAAAGGCGTGCGCCACCACCGCCCGGCGATTTAAAATTCTTAAAAATTGCACCTTTGCCATGTTTCTACGCCAAGTACTTCTACTTTTAATAAATATTTAATTGTTAGAATAATGACAAACTTAAGGAAATAGGTTTGAAATTCCCTGTTTTTTTTTTTTTGTGGTGCAAAAACAGTTTTTAAGACACACTACCTTCCTACTCTTTGAAGATTTAAAATGAGATTTAAAACAATGAAGAGAAATTATTTGCATTCATGATTATGAGTCTTTATGAATGTGATACATTTGTCAAGTAATTGCATTAATATATTAGTCAACAAACTAAATACTCATGAGCAAATCTTCAGTTATTTTTTCTTTCTCTCTCTCTTTCTTTCTTTCATCTGTTAATGTGTGTCGTGTGAGTGTGTGTGTGTGTGTGTGTGTGTGTGTGTGTGTGTGTGTGTGTGTGCATATGCCATAGGACACCTGTGGAGGTCAGGGAACAACTTTTAGAAATTGTTCTCTGTAGATGAATTTTAAAGGTCTTATTAAATAAAAAACAAGGAGCCAGATATAGGGGTGAAAACTTGAGAGATCAGGGAAATAGGAAAAGCCACAAGCTAACCTCATCTCACTAACACCTCAGTCTCCAAAAAGACCTACTTCCTGTATACCTATGCCTATATGCCTTTCTGTTCTGCTATCTCATTTGCTCTCTGTCCAGCTACATCACTTCCTCTTCCTGCCCAGCTCTGTCACTTCCTATCTGTTTGTACAGACCTCCACAGCTCCATGGTTAACTAGTGTTGGAATTAAGGCATTGCCACCATGCCTGGCTCTGTTCCCAGTATGGTCTTGAACTCACAGAGATCCAGACAGATCCCTGCCTCCTGAATGATAGGATTAAAGATGTGTGCTACCATTGCCTGACTTCTATGTTTATTATAGTGGCTGGTTTTTCCCTCTGATCCTCAGATAAATTTTATTGGGGGACACAGTATATTGGGAGATAAAGTACATCACCACATTTCTCCTTTTTGTCTAAAATAAAAAAGTTATAACTAATATAAAAAAACTATATACAATACATACAATAACTATACACAATATGTACAAGCAATAAATACATCAATAATGTCTAATCCATTTGCATTTGACAAATTCAGTGAAAATATTCCATTATTGTGGTGGTATTTTACTTATACTGAAATGTGATTTTAATTGCACGTTAATAAATAAAGTTGCCTGGGGGTCAGAGCTATTAGAGCCATAGCAAGTGCATGGCAGTGGTGGCGCATGCCTTTAAGGACCTGGAGGGCGGTACATACAGGCAGTGATGAGGCAGTCACGTGTTTGGGTTTACAACCAATGAGAAGGCAGAACAGCTAGACTATATAAAGACATACACACAGGAAGTAGGCCCCTTTTCGGAGAGCTCTCTTGGCTGAAGAGGATCGCTGAATCAGGAAGGGTGAGACTCTTAGCTCTGACCTCTTGGCTTTCTTCTCTGAATCGGCTCTGTGTTTCTTATTTAATAAGACGGTTGGTTACATCTACACATTATCTATACTATTTTGGTAAGTAATATACCTGAATCACTTTCTATCCTACCTTATATTACTAATAGAGAGCTATCTTATAATGTCTTTCAAATTTACACACTTTACATCTCTTAGTGAGTCTATTTTCTGAAATTTCTTAACAAGGAAAAACTGTAACTACAACTATCTAATCTTCAACTCCCTCAGAGACCTCAGAAGGAAATAATATTACCTAGTAAAGAATGAAATGTAAACAAGTAACTTCCAAAAAATGTGAGTTATGACAGAAACAGCCAGCTTCCTAGACAGTCACCCAAGTTTTTTCTGCAATGTTGGGGCATCATCTTCGGCCTACAGGCTTAGCCTATCTGACAGACTCATTTGTGAAGTAGGTTGTACGCAAGGCCTATAGCTCAACCCCACATTTGCTGCGAGTATCCCACGTATCAGAGAAACCTGAATTCCACCAGTGTCATGTCATGATTCAGGATTTTAAATTATGGAAATTGCTGGTATTTTTGGAATTTGGCTTTCCATTCTTCTTGGCTTGTGGGTGGCTTCATCTCTTTTATTAAATGCCAGTCTACCATTGAGAGGTTAGACTCTGTCAGCCTAGTTACTCCTCCAAGAATAACTGTTCCAGGTACTGTTCCACTGCACACCAGGAGCCATCAGCCTCCTGCCTGCTCAGCTGCCTTCAAAGGAAGGGGTACTGTACCTTTTCTGGATTGCAAAGCCACTTCAGTTATGGTGATATTTTAATTGTACTGAAACGTGATTTTATTTGTATGTTAATAAATAAAGTTGCTCAAGAGGTCAGAGTGATAGCAAAGAGCTGAAAACCTTACCCTTCACTGCTGCTGCTATCTTCCTCAGCAAGAGACCTACTTCCTGTGTGATTGTCTTTTTTATAGACTTTCTATTCTGCCTTCTCATTGGTTGTAAACCCAACCATATGACCTTCTCATCACTGCCTGTCTGTACAGACCTCCAGGTCTTCTATGGTTGGTATTGAGATTAAAGGCGTGTGTCTCCTTGCTGGCTGTATCCTTGAACACACAGAGATTCGCCTAGCTCTGCCTCCCAAGAGCTGGGATTAAAGGCGTGCACCACCAACACCCAGTTTCTGCTTTGGCTTGCTATTAACTCTGACCCCAGGCAACTTTATTTATTAACATACAAATAAAATCACATTTCAGTACTATTAAAATATTACCATATTCAGTGATGGCCTCAGAGGATGCCTGTTGCCAAAACCGCAACCACACTTGTCTTGGCAAGGATCACAGTTCTCCGTGTGTGTGTGTGTGTGTGTGTGTGTGTGTGTGTGTGTGTGCGCGCGTGTGCACTGTGTGTGTGTCATGCTTGTCCATTTTGGACAGCATACTGTAAGCAGTCGATGTGAGGGCACTTTCTTGCCCAGTGGCTAACTTTTGCCACAATGAAAGTAAATTCCATGTGCAGGTTCTTCAATGCCCATATCTTCTCTGAAGTAGATTGGTACTTCCAGGACCAGAAATGTCTCATAGTCATAAAAAAAGAAGAAAAAGAATCTATGTTATTAAAATACCTTAAATGTCATATTCTGTAGATCTCTGAAGGGTTTAAAGATGACTTATTTAAAATATGTCTCTGCTTGACCTTGAAAACATACCTAACATGACTACAAGTTCAATTGTAATGACTAACTACTAACCTGCATTTTTTTATATCCTAATTAGTTGGTAATAATAACTTTCAAGGATGAGCAAATTGCATTACATTGTTAAATGAACTATATAGGCACAATACCTTGAACAAGATTAGAAATATATGTACAGTATTTTCTAACAAAATCAATCTCAAATTTGTAACAATATACATAATTTGTATACAATAAACAAAACTCCAATCCATGTAAAATACTTAAAACTAGTAGTTGCTTTCTAAAAGTAGATTCAATAATCTACCTTTTTATTTATATTATATCTATATCCTCTCTTTTTTCTTTATTTTCACTGTAGATTCAATAATCTACCTCTTATCTATATCCTCTTTTTTCTTTTTCTTTTTTTGTTTAATAAAAATCTCCTTTGGTTAGCTTTTTTCCTGACCATTAAGAATAACAACTTGTAACCAACCATCCCAAACAAAGACAATTATCCAAAACCCATTGAAAGACCAAAAACCACCCACCCCACCTCTTGGGAATGTGGGCATTTTGTTCTTAATATTACTTTCTGCTGTTTGTGGGTGAAAGAATCTTTAGAAGATCCTGAAAAGAAAATTTTGAGTTAATTGTCAAGTCCTGGGGGAGGTAGCTGTATCATTTGTTGTCCAGTCTCTGCATAATGCAAAAGTGCAAGGTTTATCTCAAGTCTTTGCTCAAACAGTCTGTGAGGCTGGATCATCTCAGCTAGCCATCTCAAAATTATTCTGAACAGTTTGTAGTCCAAAACTGATCTTTGGGTAATGTTTGTCAGCTTAGTGGTATTATTATTGTTTATGTGGAATTGTCATTGTGGGGTCCTATCATCTTTTTGGAGACTTCAAATTTGTTGTCAGGCCTGGTCATGATTGCCTGCAGAAAACTGATAGAGACTCCAACACAAAAACATGTATAGGCAGCTAAATGAAGCCTTTTTTTCTAGAATTAGTTAGTAGTCTATATGACCATTAATATCATAACAAAAGTTTAAAATATATATTAATCTTATAAATTTTGTTATAAAATTCATACCTTAAGAAAAGCTTTAAAGAATCAAAATAGAACCAAAGAATTATGAGATTGGTGATAATAGAATAGTCCCTTAATTTTTGTTTTTCTTCTGTCCCATAACAGGTGGCTCTTCTGACATGATAGAGAGACTTTGCATTTTCCTTTTAATAAACATGCTTGGGTTTAGAGAAGGAGAGAGCCATTCTCCAACTCCAAAGCCAGCTGATAGGGGAATGTCTTTCTGTACACTGCAAATATGTTGCTCTCATTGGTTGATAAATAAAACCATTTAGCCTATGCAAGGCAGCTTAGAGGCAGGTGAGAAATTCAAAGAGAGTGATAGGAAGAAGGCTGGAAGAGATGCCAGTGAACTGCCCAAGGAGCAACATGTAATGGGATGCAGGTAAAGCCATGGAACATGTGGTGATATATAGATTGTTATGGGCTAACTTAAGATATAAAAGCTAGCTAGCAAAAGGCTTGAGCCATGTCAATTCAGTTTTAATTAATATAAGCCTCTGTGTGTTTACTTGGGTCTGAGCAGCTGTGGGCTGTGTAGGACACAGGAAAACGTTTAGCTACAGCCACCTTTAATTTTTAATTGAATTGGGACTATAAAAAGACCATTTGTGTTAAGTGTCTGTAGAGAAGAGCAGAAACAAACATTTAGGAAGACATGAAATTTTATATGTGATATATCAGTAGGCCAATTTACTCTTTTACTTGGGACATTTTTTTCTGGATGATTTGTCCGTTTTCTTCAGATGTCTCATTTGTCCAGTGTTCTTCAGATTCCTTAGCCTTCATTCTCCTGAAAGACAAAAACAAAAATTCTTACTCTAGCCTAAGTTTGGGGAGGTTCCCTTTTGGCAAGTTATATCTGATTAAATGAAAAGCATTTGTTAGTTGTAAACTAATTTAAATTGGATGATCATGCTGGTCAATGAACTGTCACCTCTTCTAATTAAGAGGTCTTTCTTGTTCAAATTGAACCTTTATCAATTTTGATGGTATCCATAGCTTTTCTTCTCCTGTAGAAACAAAAGCAAAACCTCATACCCAATGTAACATATATCCTGGTTTCCATTCTGAGGTCAGCACATCCTTAAAGTATAGGCTCATTAAACTCTGTAGTCTTTTTTCTATTATCCAATGTCTCTCTGTAGCTGTTGTTCCTTTCTCATTAGCATTAAGAAAATTCAATGTTAACAGGCATTATGTAATCTATTTCTGGGAGGTTTTGTTACCTCTTTCTGTTTATTTAGCATATCCTTTAGAGTTTATTTGATCTTTCTATAACTGCTTGACCTGTAGGATTATGTGTTATATCTGTAATATGCTTTATATTGTAATAAGCAAAAACTGTTTCATTTTACCAGAGACATATGCTGGAGCATTTTCAGTTTTAATTTGTGCAAGTATACACATGATGGCCATAACTTCTTGCAAATATGTGAATATAGAATCAGCTTTTTCAGAAATCAGAGCAGTTGCCCATTGAAATCCTGAATAAGTATCAATGGCATAGTGTACATATTTCAGTTTTTCAAATTCTACAAAATAAAACATGTTCATCTGCCAGATTTTATTCCTCTGAGTACATTTTGTGTTACATTTTGCTGGTAGTGGCATCTGATTGTAAAAAGAACAAGTAGGACATTTCCTTATAATTTCCTTGGCTTATTGCCAGGTTATGGAAAAATCCTTTTTTAAGCCCTTACTATTGACATGATTTTTTTAAAATAAAATTCTGAGGCCTCCAGCACATTTCCTATCAATAATTTATCAGTTTTATCATTACCTTGTGCTAGAGGGCCTCACAGACCCATATGGGATTAGATGTGTTATATATATATATATATATATATATATGGGATACTTCCTATTTCTGATTATATCTTGTAATTAAATAAATAACAAAGTTAATTATGACTCATCAGGGATAAATTCTGTACTCTAAATATGTAAGACCATTCTTTCAGCATACTGAGAGTCAGTAACCATGTTGAGGGGTTACAAAAAATCCATTAATACCATCAGAATAGCATACAATTCTGATTTTTGAATCAGAAATTTCTGTTTTCTTCAGATGTCTCATTTGTCCAGTGTTCTTCAGATGTCTCATTTGTCCAGATACCTATTCAGGATTTCAATGGGTAACTGCTCTGATTTCTGAGAAGGCTGATTCTATAAATATGTATTTTCAAGAAGTTATGGCCATCATGTGTATACTTGCACAAATTAAAACTGAAAATGCTCCAGCATATGTCTCTGGTAAAATGAAATTATAAGGACTTTGAATCACTTTACTTAAATTTTCTGATTTGTAACCTGACTTTCCTTGTTTGTTCGCATCTGTATAAAATGTATGGGCTCCAGATATTGGAGTATAAGAGGCAGGATCCCATCAGCTTTCTTTATAAGTTGAATTCTATCACTTTTGGGATATTTGTTGTTAATGTCTTCCAAAAAATTATTGCAAGCTCTTTGCCAAGGTTCACTTTCTGCCCATAAGTTGTCAATGTCATCCTTAGCTGAGTCTATTCCTGCTCATTGACAAAGTCTCAACTTTCCTTTTAAAATCAAGTCAGAGATCTTTTCCACATACGTTTTTAATTTTTTACTCTGTTTATTTGGTAGAAATATCCATTCCAATATAATATCTTCCCTCTGCATTACAATTTCTGTAGGAGAATGCTTAGAGGGTAAAATAACCAAAATGCAGTCAAGCTTTGGATCTACTGTCCATATGTGCATCCTGTATTTTCTTTTCCTCGAAAGCCAATTCTCATCTTCAGCTGATAATTCTCTTGGACTATTTATGTCCTTGTCACCTTCTAAGGTTTTGAACAAATTACTCATCATTTTTTTTTACCCCAACAACAGTTAGTAGATGGAAAGTATCTCTGAATAGTCTTTGAAATTCATTAAGAGTCTATAATTGATGTCTCCTAATTTGCACCTTTTGGAGTCTAATTTTTTGTAGAACTATTTTATATCCTAAATAATTAATAGAATCTCCCCTTTGTATCTTACCAGGAGCAATTTGTAATCCCCAACAAGGCAAAATTTTCTTTACTTCTTCAAACATTCTTTCTAAGGTATCTGCATTTGAATCAGCTAGTAAAATATCATCCATATAATGATAAACTATAGATTTAGGAAATTGTTTATGTATTACTTCCAACAGTCATCATAAAATATTGGCACAGGGTTGGGCTATTTAACATTTCCTTTGGGAGAACCCTTCATTGTATCTCTTAACTGGCTGAGAAGTTTTATAAGTAGGCACTGTGAAGGCAAATCTTTCTCTGTCTTTTTCTTGTAAGAGTATTAAGAAGAAACAGTCTTTCAAATCAATAACTATAAGAGGCCATCCTTTAGGTAACAGAGTAGGAAAGGAATTCCAGATTGTAGAGTGCCCATTGGCTGAATTAGTTTGTTAATTGCTCTTAGGTCTGTTACCATTCTCCATTTACCAGATTTCTATTTAACAAAACATACAGGAGAATTCCAGGGGCTGGTTGATTCTTCAATATGCTGAGCATTTAACTGCTCTTGTACCAGCTCTTTTTTTTTAATTTAATTTTATTTTACAATACAATTCAGTTCTACATATCAGCCACAGATTCCCTTATTCTCCCCCCTCCTGCCCCCCTCCCCTTCCCCCAGTCCACCCCCCATTCCCACCTCCTCCAGGGCAAAGACTCCCCCGAGGATTGAGATCAACCTGGTAGACTCAGTCCAGGCAGGTCCAGTCCCCTCCTCCCAGGCCGAGCCAAACGACCCTGCATAAGCCCCAGGCTTCAAACAGCCAACTCATGCACTGAGCACAGGACCTGGTCCCACTGCCTGGATGCCTCCCAAACAGATCAAGCCAATCAACTGTCTCACCTATTCAGAGGGCCTGATCCAGTTGGGGGCCCCTCAGCCATTGGTTCATAGTTCATGTGTTTCCATTCATTTGGCTATTTGTCCCTGTGCTTTATCCAACCTTGGTCTCAACAATTCTCGCTCATATAAACCCTCCTCTTTCTCGCCAATTGGACTCCCGGAGCTCCACCTGGGGCCTGGCTGTGGATCTCTGCATCCAGTTCCCTCAGTCATTGGATGGGGTTTCTAGCATGACAATTAGGGTGTTTGGCCATCCTATCACCAGTGTAGGTCAGTTCGGGCTGTCTCTCGACCATTGCCAGCAGTCTGTTGTGGGGCATCTTTGTGGATTTCTGTGGGCCTCTCTAGCACTTTGCTTCTTCCTATTCTCATGTGGTCTTCATTTACCATGGTCTCCTATTCCTTGTTCTCCCTCTCTGTTCTTGATCCAACTGGGATCTCCTGCTCCCCCAAGCTCTCTTTCCCTTGACCCTCACCCTTCATTACCCCCACTCATGTCCAGGCTGTTCATGTAGATCTCATCCTTTTCTCTGTCATTGGGTGATCCCTGTGTCTTTCTTGGGGTCCTGTTTTCCAGGTAGCCTCCCTGGTGTTGTGAGTAGCAGTCCAGTCATCCTTGTTCCACATCTAGCATCCTCCTATGAGTGAGTACATATCATGTTTGTCTTTCTGAGTCTGGGTTACCTCACTCAGGATGATTTTTTCTAGATCCATCCATTTGCCTGCAAACCTCATGATATCATTGTTTTTCTCTGCTGAGTAGTATTCCATTGTGTATATGTACCACATTTTATTTATCCATTCTTCAGTTGAAGGGCATCTAGGTTGTTTCCATGTTCTGGCTATTACAAACAATACTGATATGAACATAGCTGAGCAAGTGCCCTTGTGGTATGATTGAGCATTGGTATATGCCCAAGAGTGATATAGTTGGATCTTGGGGGATATTGATTCCCAATTTTCTAAGAAAGTGCCATATTGATTTCCAAAGTGGTTGTACAAGTTTGCATTCCCACCAGCAGTGGAGCAGAGTTCCCCTAGCTCCACATCCTCTCCAGCATAAGGTGTCTTCAGTGATTTTGATCTTAGCCATTCTGACAGGCATAAGGTGGTATCTCAGAGTTGTTTTGATTTGCATTTCCCTGATGATTAGGGATGTTGAGCAATTCCTTAAATGTCTTTCGGCCATTTGAGTTTCCTCTGTTGAGAATTCTCTGTTTAGTTCTATAGCCCATTTCTTAATTGGACTGTTGGGCATTTTGATGTCTAATTTCTTGAGTTCCTTATATATTCTGGATATCAGTCCTCTGTCAGATATGGGGTTTGTGAAGACCTTTTCCCATTCTGTAGGCTGTCGCTTTGCCTTGTTGACCATATCCTTTGCTCTACAAAAGTTTCTCAGTTTCAAGAGGCCCCATTGATTGATTGTTTCTCTTAGTGTCTGTGCTACTGGTGTTATATTTAGGAAGTGATCTCCTATGCCAATGTGTTCAAGACTTTATTTATAAAACCTGCTAATATTTCTCTCAGAAACATGTATTAGTTTATGGTTTGTTTCTGAGGTCAGAGGAGTGCCAGTCTGCATATTCCATGTTTGTAATAGATCACAGCCCCATAAATTCATAGCTATATTAGCCACATATGGCTTTAATTTTTCTCTCGTCCTTCTGGCCCTATACATTTGACCCATCTTGCACTCTGTTTCACTTGAGATAATGTTCCAATCTTTAACAGCTGAACATTTACCTCCTAAAGAGACCAATTTGGGTCACAAAATTCTTGTGCAATTATTATGATGTCCACACCTGTGTCTATAAGACCTTCCAAAAGAATGTCGTTTATTTGTATTTTTAATTTTGGTCTTTGTTCTTTATAGAAGTTTGCCAAAAAATTCTCTTTATGGTTTCTCCTGAAGTTT